TCACTTGCTTTCCTGAGATCCTGTTGTATGACTGAGAGGTATACTTAATAATTGGCAATTTGCTCAGAGCAACTTGCTCCAAAATTTCAATAACACAAAAGAATCCTACAGTTTCTACTCATTGGTAATGGGATTTGGTCTGCATACTTAATTCACCATTCACCACTCTAGTCCAACTCTCTGATTTTACAGATAAAGAAATTAAGGCTCAGAGAAACTGAATTGCCAAATGTCTTTTCTCACCTCTCTAGTGATGCTCAAAGGGGAGGCCAGGGAGTCCTAACCTTTAGATAAAGGATCCTCTCACACCTTCTGTTAATGCTACACATGAAATGGCTCAGTTCTATCTCATACCTGGGTTAATCAGGTTTATGCTAATCTTGGCTGTATACAAAGAAGTAATTCCTATTCTTACACATCTTCCTCAGAGACTTCTCATTTACACTTAAAAAAAAAAAAAAACCCAAACCCACAAAAATGGTGGTTTTCCTTCAATGCTTAGAGTGTATCTCTGACAGCCATTCCCTTATAGTTCTACTATCCATTGATCATGAAACAAAGGCATTTAATTTTAATAACCTCTGAAACCAAAGTACTGTATTTGGGGAGATTTCGTTCAAGTTTATTTCTATCCTCATCAAGTGAAGGAAAAATTAAAATCTTACTCAGATTCACTGTCCTTTTTTTCCAGTTTTTTCTGAAGGGCGTGTGCAACCTGGACCCTGGAATAGTGTAAAACGTTCTATTACACGATAAGGAAGAACATTCAGGACAAACCAACTAGAGAAAACAGCATCATGGATTGTAACTTTTCCCTTGAATGTACGATACAGGTTTCTGTTGGTGTTTTTTAAATTAAAGCATGAGGCGAATACTTTGGTAATATACAGATAACCTTGTTTCCTAAACCATTGCTCTACTACGGTAAGTAAAGGACAAACTATACAAGCTATGTACTTTCTTTCCTTCTAGTTCTGCTTTGGCTTAGTAGACGGTCTTCAGAAGTTGCTATGGCAAAAAAAGTTCATCATCTCATACCCTACACCCTGATGAGTCTCTCCAAATTCACCTAGGCTAGCCCTCAGATGACAGGCACAATTCATAATTAGGGCTGTCCTTCCTTGGAAGCCTTCCCATCCAGGAAGAATCTGCCCAAGCTTATGTTCTATTGGCAACAGCACCTCTATATCACAATATGGTACCAGGAAACCATTTTCTCTAATTCCAAAGAATTTGGGGGGGTTTTTGGAGTTTTGACTGGGGTATTGCATTGTATGTACAATTAGTTTTGTATGATGAGACAAGATAAGACTTCAGAGCAGGACTAATAACTTAATATGACAAAATTTCAATAACACAAAAGAATCCTACAGTTTCTACTCATTGGTAATGGGATTTGGTCTGCATACTTAAAAAAAAACATTGCTTTGATATGAGTTTCCAATTCTTCTTCATTATTTGAGAATGACTTGCCATTTGCAGTTATGAGACTAGTACCTAGGATTTATATAGTGCTTTAAGGTTTACAGAGCTTTATATTTATTTATAAATATTACAAATATTTATAAATATTATTTCATTTAATCCTCACAACAACCCTGAGTGGTAGGTCCTATTATTATCCCAATTTTACATAGGAGGAAACTGAGACAGAGGTTAAGGAATTTGCCCAGGGTCACACAACTAGAGTGCCTGAGGCCAGATTTAATAAACTCATGTCTTCTTGACCCAAATTCTGTACTCCTGTACCACCCAGATGCTATGTTACTTCAAATGAACTTATTCAGAAAATAACATTTTGTTTGTTAAATAACTTTAAAATTCCAAATTACCTTCTTAAAGCTAGAGTTTTCATTTCTAACTCAATCTTCACCCCTTCCATTTTCCTTTCTAAATCTTCAATCCTATTAAAAAAACAAGAAAAAAAGTTAAGGAAAGTATTGTAAGAACTTCAGAAAATTGTTTTGTATTTTTATAAAGTTTTAAACACACCATTACTGGCAGAAAGAGATTTCATTCTGTGAATGAGAAAAAAGGTACCATCTTATGCTGTAATAAATGCAGAAGGGAATGAAATGTTTCCAGTTAACTATATTTTAAACAAATATTTATGATTGCTACAGCCGAATTTCTACATCTTAGCTTTTCTTTAGAGCTGAACTTTAGCCCTGCATAAAGTCTCTTCTGACCAATCTAGTCCTCAAGGATCTCCCTCATTTTACAACTACTTTACTTTTCACATAATTTAGCACTAATTGCATTTACACCTAATGTTCACTATTATTTAGTTCATAATCATCTTGTCTCCCAAACTGAACCATAAGCCTCAGTATTAAATGACCAGGTCTCGTATTTCTACATCCTCCACAGTACCTAGGACAGTGCCAAATACGCAAAGCACTCCACAAAAATAACCAAATGCCAATTCGCATTCAAATAATGGCTAACATTTATACAGCACTTTAAAGTTTACAGAATCTATTATGAATGTTATCATCTCACGAGAGCTTCACAAGCACCCTGTGAGGTAGGTATCTCCATTTTACAGAGGAGTAGTGTCAGAATAGGAATTCAAACCCAGGTCTTCTGACTCCAAGTCCCAAATTCTTTCCACTACATT